GACTCCAAGTCTCTTTTGATATACTGAGAGAGAGTTGGCGTCGATATCAACGAGCTGTGAAAACAGCCAGAGTAATATATGTCTCTGACATTACTGCTGCTAACTCTCACAACCACCGTGTTCTTTATAATACAATCAACACTGTCCTCAGTGCACATGAACCGGTCCCTCTTGAAGCATCCAAAGAATTTTGTGATAAGTTTCTTCATTTCTTCTTGGACAAGGTTATTAACACTAGGGTTTGTATCTCTTTTCCATCCATTGACCCTTCCATCCCAGTCCCCTGTCCTGCTGTTTTTGATCATTTGGAGGCTATTTCCCTCTCCTATCTAGAGAAACTTGTCACCAGTATGAAATCATGGGGTTCTCCCCTTGATGTTGTTCCTCCATATTTTCTTAAGGAGGTATTTTCTACTGTTGGCTCCTTTATCTTAAATGTGATCAACAGCAGTTTGATGTCTAGTGTGGTACCAAGCAATTTTAGACATGCTGTGGTGCAGCCATTGTTGAAAAAACCTGGCCTTGAGCCATCATCTTTGCCAAACTTTAGGCCAATCTCCGAGTTACCCTTTATATCCAAAATTTTGGAAAAAAGTTGTTTACATGCAGCTGAAGGCATTTTTGGATGAATTTAAAATTTTTAAGGTCTTCCAGTCTGGTTTTAAAATGTACCACAGCACTGAATCTGCTATTTTAAGGGTTTTTAAATGACATATTTTTAGCACTGGATTCTGGAAACTGTGATTTACTTGTGCTTTTAGATTTAACAGCTGCTTTCGACACAGTTGACCATAACATTCTCATCTCCAGACTGGAGTAGTGGGTGGGCATCACTCGCTCAGCTCTGCAGTGGTTTAGGTCCTACCTTTCTGATAGAAGTTTCAGTGTGATGATGGATAATTTTACCTCTGCTTCTGCTGCCCTCCCCTGGGAGGTACCCCAGGGCTCTATTCTTTGTTCTTTCTTGTTTTCTCTTTACCTTCTGCCACTGGGTTCTATTTTCAGAAAGCATGGTGTACAGTTTCATTTATATGCAGATGACTGTCAAGTCTACTTCCCTTTGAAACAAAATGGCTCCACTCAGGCTCTCCTGGACTGTCTTGATGACATTAGAGGATGGGGGGCACTTAATTTCCTCCATTTTAATGAAAAAAAAGACTGAGGTTATGGTCTTTAGATCCTGTGGCCCTAGCAGTTTCTCCACCTTGGATTTTTCCTCTTTGGCCCCACATGAAAAATCCATTTTGACAAATTTAGGAGTGAAAATGGGCCCCTGCCTGAAACTTGACTGCCATGTCAACAATGTGGTTAAGTCCTCTTTTTTTTCAGCTGAGGCGCCTGTCAAAAATCAAGCCCCTCCTTTCTAGACACCACTTAGAGACAGTAATCCACGCTTTTATTACTTCACGCTTTACTTTACTTCACGCCTGGATTATTGCAACTCTCTGTTGATAGGAGTTAGCCAGGCCTCGCTCTTACGGTTACAGCTGGTACAAAATGCTGCTGCATGATTTTTGACTGGTACAGGCAGGCGTGAGCACATCACTCCAGTTCTGATGTCCCTTCACTGGCTTCCTGTCCAGTTTCAAATTCATTTTAAAGTTCTATTGTTTGTTTTTAAGTCTTTGAACGGTCTTAGTCCCTCTTATTTGTCTGAACTGCTTCACCTTTACATGCCATCACGTGCTCTTAGATCCTCTGACCAGATGCTTTTAGCAGTCCCGAAAACTTTTTATAAATCCAGAGGAGACAGAGCCTTTTCAGCTCTGGCTCCTAAATTGTGGAATGAGCTGCCACTGGATGTCAGGCAGGCCCCGTCACTTTCTGTTTTTAAAACTCGTTGAAAAACACGTTTTTTTTCATTGGCTTTTAACCTAGAGTGAGTCAGCATCTGTGTCTTAATGTTACAAAATGATGCTCAGCATGGAGAGACCTGAAAAAACCTGTCGTCACACTGATTCTCCTTTGCAACCACTCCCATAAACTCTACATGGAACACTACATCTCAATACAGTCCTGACAAACAGCTGTTGTGGAACAGCTGTGGAATGTCTGTGCAACAGCTGTAGAACATCTAGAACAACATTTGTGGAACAGCTTTTTTGAAACAGTTGTGGAACAGCTGTTGTGGAACAGCAGAGGAACATCTGTGGAACAGCTTTTGTGGAAAAGTTGTGGAACAGCTGTGAAACGTCTGTGCAACAGCTGCAGAACAGCTGAGGAACATCTGTGGAACAGCTATAGAACATCTGCACAGCATATGTAGAAGAGCTGAGTAACATATGTGGAACAGGTTTTGTGGAACAGCTGTGAAACATCTGTGGAACAAATTCTGTGGAACATTTGACAAACATCCGTAACAGCTTTTGTGGAACATCTGAGGAATATCTATGGAACTTTTTCATTCAACCTTTATTTAAACAGATAAATCACATTGCGCCTCGAAGACTCATTTACAAGTGAGACCTGTTTGGACAGACAAAAACAGTGGTTAATTGGACACATGTAGGAGTTGGAGGCGAAAAAAATTCCTATCAGACTTTTTTCTTGGCTGAGAAAAACCCCTAATATTGAAAAAACACCTCGCACAAACAAGCACATATTTACGTAGACATTCTGCAATAGAGAAGAGCAGGAAGAAGGAAGAGACGAGAGCGGTCAACAACGCCTACAGATGCTCTCAAGGTCACTGTAATCAGTCAATGTCCTCCGTGAGATCCATAAACATTCTCAAGGTATGGCCAAGGATAACCCCTGAGTATCCAAGAGTCCTGAAATGATGACACAAAGTTTTTTCAGCGGGGTTTCATCTGGTTATCAGTTGGAAATTCCTCAGGGAGGGGGTGGTGAGCGTCAGATCACATTTTCTCCAGGCGAAATTCAGATAAGGTGGCCTTCAAGGACACCAAGGCGACCAAAATTTAGATAAACACACAGTTGTTTTGGGGACAGGCAGAACTTAATGACATCAACCTTGAGTCTGTGTTGGTCCACTCGGTTCCGAAATGTCCAAAATAACATGACCACACTGATGGAACATGTCTGAGTAAAAATCCCCAAGATCTGATCCATTCTGCCCAAAGCATTTGAGTCCAGGTACTCGAGACATGAAACCAAACTATCATAAAGGCAAGCAGCGTGATCGGGTCCAAATTTGCTGCTGACGACTTCCTTGATTGTAGATAAAAACCAGCACCAGCTGAATCCAAAAAGCAGGATCCAGTTATCGTGAATCCAATTAAAAATGCGTCCTTAAATCCACAGTTGGCAGCAGAGATAGACACATCATCAAATCTTCCAGTCGATGAGATATCCAGCTGCGTACGTGCCAACAGGGTAAATCGGCTCGCCTAAAGCCTGTCTTCTCTTGAAGAAATGTTGTAAATTGAGTTGAGGGACCAACTGGTCAGAACAAGTCCATAATTATGGTTCGGAAGAAATGCAAGAGAGTCTCAGAGTCTCAGAAGCAGTTTCACAGACAGACAGAGCAGCAAAGCGGAGAGAGAGGGAAGCATCCGATCTCGGCTTGAGCAAGTGGTGAAGTGAACTTCTGTGGAATATCAGTGGAATAGCTTTTGTGGAACAAATTTTGTGGAACATCTGAGAAACATCTGTGGGACTTCTGTGGAATAGCTTGTGGAAAAGCTATGGGACAGCTTTTGTGGAACAACTATGGAATAACTTTGGAATATCTGTGCAGCAGCTGTGGAACAGCTGAGGAACATATGTAGAACAGCTTTTGTGGAACATCTGTGCAACAGCTGAGGAACAGCTTTTGCAGAACAGCTGTGGAACATCTATGGAACAGCTGTGGAATATCTGTTCAGCAGCGGAAAAACATCTGTGGAACAGCTTTTGTGGAAAAGATGTGGAATATCTGTGGAAC